CTATTTCATTAATCTATTTGCCTATTCTTTTGCCAACACCAGCCTGCCTCGGCCTCCCAAAATGCTGGGATTACAGGCATGAGCCACTGCGCCCTGCCTACACTGTCTTAATTACTGTAGCTTTGTAATACATCTTGAAGTCAAGTGGAGTATCATACTTTAACTTGAAATCTTCCTTTAATAAACTATAAAGCTTCAGACATCTATCCTACTTCCCAAATCAGAGATACCATTAAAGTATCTATGGGTGTGCACCACCAGCCATTTATTCTCATATTGAGCTGTGAGCGCCGTGAACGTCATGAAGTCCCTTTTGCTGTGAATTTAGTACGAGCACATACTTTTGAACATCTCCCACTCCACAATTATCTCCAAACTTGTTTCAAGAAAAAACTTTCTAGTATGGTGTTCTGGATTTAGAAAAAGGAGAAAAATGAGATTAAAAAAAGAAGAGGAGAATGAAAATGAGTTTATACTTTACAGTTTTTACGCCCTAGGTATAGGTGGGGATTGCGCACTCTGGAGTCAGTCTCTCCTTGCTCTGACAAGAGTTAGGGCAAGTTACTTAAACTCTGCAAGCCTCACTTTCCTTATCTGTAAAATGGGGATAAAATATTGAGCACTTAAGAAATGTCCTTGTGACTCCCGGAGACAAAAAAAAAAAAACACACACAAAGGAATTTTGAGGCTTTCCTCTATAGCTATATTAATCCAGATGGTGCTGGACGGGAGGAGGGACAGACGGGAATACACACACCCGAAGCGCAGATGAGCTCTCAGATCATTTCGAGCGAGTCATCCACAAAGTGCTCGTACATTTTCACCTGTGACTCAATGCGAACTTTCTCTAGGGATGTCCCTATGAGCAAGATCATCTGTCCTGGGCAAAGGGTTCTGGCACTGGTTTTCCTCAGGGGCCCTTTTTACAAAGATTCCCAGGGAAATAGAGGAGAGGAAGGGAGGAAAATTAGTTGGGGTAAAGGTATTTTCCCAAACCGTCAGAGCGTGTGAGCCTCTTCAGGCAGACCGGATCTCCCCCTGGGGGTGGAGTGTGCTCCTCTCCTCTTCCCTCCTTCCCCACCCTGCCCAGGCACCCGGTGCCACCCCTGCCTCCTCCCTATCTTTATTATGTTGCCCCAGGCTGCCTCACACCATGCTCGGTTTATTTTCTAATTATTTTCTCCTGCTGCAAACTTTAGCCAGCCCTGTAGATGTGATATCTGGTGATTCTGGGGGACTTAGAGAGGCATTCATTTATTTTCTTATTTATATGAGCTATATTAGTTGGGAGTTCTCCTTTTGGAACTAGTGAGGTCTAGTTTGTCCACTGTGATGATCACTGGGGCGGCGGGCACCATCCCAGGCTCTCCTGCAGGAGGGAAGCAGCTCTCTGAGCCTCGCCCCGCCCCTCAGTGGAAGGGCTGTCCTGGATTAGGGATGCCCGACTCTTTCTGGGCCACTTCACATCCTCCTCATCGTTCCGCAAAGGCACTTGTGCCAGATGAGAAGTCTCCTTTTGGGCAGATTCCTGTGATTGAGGGGAGGTTGGGGGTGGGGCGGCTGGGGGCTGGAAGCAAAGCCTCCCACATGATGAGTTCTTGTCTGCAGCCATGCTCTGGGCCCTTCCCAGGGTGCGTCTTGGAGGGCTACTTGCACTGTGTCCGGCGGGTTTGCTTCCCCGTCTTCATACCTGTATAGTTTCTGCCCTTTGTAGTGCTCTCACTGTGCTCCCCGTTGTGGACCTGACTAGTTGGAAGAAACCAAGCACACGGGGGAGAAGATGTCTTTTCTCTTTCAGATCTGATGTTTAAGAAATGTATGCTGAGTGTAAAGAATATTACTGGGAACAGACCCAACCAATTCAGGTCAGAGTTGGCTAGCAGAAGCCTGGAGAAGATTCCCTAAGACTGATGGGGATCCGATCAGCCTGGGAGAGTTCTGTTGTCAGGGTTTTATCTTGGACTTTCATCTGGCCAATGAGATCTGAAGCCTCTTTTGCAGCTCCAGGGGACAGAGGGCAGACCAGTTCTACGCTGAGACTCTGTCAATCAAACGGATGGGATAATCACTCGTCCCTCCCGTCAAGTTTGCAAGTCTAACTTTCTAGCTTACCTGAAGTTGTTCTGCTCCTGCATAGTGAACTGAGACCATGTGTCCTAAGCTAGTTGCCTGCCATCTGTGGACCTTCCATGTGTTTCCACTTCTTACTCGAGCCCTCTTCTGTGAAAGTGAGTACTCAGGCACTGACCGTTCCCTCTGTTGGTGCAGCCCAGCCCCCTGCCCTCCTGACTCTCCATCTTTCTAATACGCAGGGGAGTGCTGGGATTTTGTGAGGCACTTAATGGTTATCTCCCCAGAATATAGGCTTGGCATTGAGGGCATAGAAGAGTTCCGTACAGATGAGGAACACATCTTAGGATGTGACTTGAATTCTCTCGACTTCCCTGGATTTAGTGCTGAGTGAAGACCCATGGCATGGAGAGGGTTTGGAGGTTTAGGGTAAAGCACTGATGGAAGAAAGGAATTCTACCACCTACTGGTGTGTCTATGAGCTCTCCCACTTATGGTCTACTTAGGGATTCTACCACTGTATCCTACTTAGTGGTTCTACTACTTAGGGACCTGCCACTTGTGTGTACTGCCACTTATGGGTCCACTACGTGGCCGTGGGTAAATAAGCTTCCTTCTTCCCATAAGGCCCTTCGCCAGGCACCCTTCATTATGGTTCTCGGTTGTTTGATGGGAGAAAGAGAGATGTTGTTTCTCTAGGGAACTTTGGAAGGTGTGACTTGGAGGTGGATGCTAGAACTTCCGCCGGAAGTTGGAGCTCCAGACCCTCCGCTTCCCCAGGTTCAGTTGCTTTGTTACTCGCTCTTCCCCTCAAACTCTGCCCACCTCTCAAGAAGAGAATGATTACTCACAAAGACAAACCAAGCACAGAAATAGCCAACCTATTTGTGGCTTAAATGCAAGCAGTTTTATTTTTACAGTGAGTTGCTGTATTTTCTCTAAGGATAAATCATTATCTACCACAAATGCGACTCCAGCTCCATCTGCGATAGTTCCTGCTTTGTTAGTGGTGCCAATTAGTCACCAAACAACTGGGGCCTTCCGCCACCCACTCAAGCTGGGGGCAAAGAGAGCCACCTCTTTCAGACTCCCCTGGCCGGCCACCAACCCCTTTGGAGACTCTCCCCCTACCTAGAAGCCATCAGGCCACCCTGGCTTCCTGGTGGCTTGCTCTTCAGTCACCTTGTGACCATTATCAATTTCCAAATTGTGCAGCTTGTTGTCCTCTGCCCATGTGGACAGACTTCTGTTAGGCACTGGAAAAAGCAAATTGGTGAGGCCCTCTGTTCTGTTGACTTACATAATGACGTTGGAGTCCTCCTTCTAGTTGGTCACTCTGAGCAAGGTTTCACAGCACCCATAGGGACAGGGTGAAATGTTCATAACAGCTGGACAGCCCCTGATCCGAGAAGCAACGAATGTGGAGCAGAGAGGATCCCTCTGTCCCATCTCATCTCCTTCATCTCTCGTTTCCTTCGGGATCAATTCCTCCCCTGCTGGGACTGGAACCTTCCTGGGCAGCCTGTTATTTTTCCCTAATCACGTTTTCTTCTGTGGGTCTGATCCTTTCCCACCAGGTGCTCCTTCTTTTCTGCCTTGCAGTTTGCTTTAGATGGTGCCTGTTTCCTTTCTAGTTTCTGACCGTCCTCTGGGAAACTAAAGTTCTCCAGGAGGCTGAACAACTTCTTCCTTGGAACATCAGAACCAGGTAATGAGAACACCTTTCCAACTTCAGGACTGAGTTCCCCTGGTCTGTTGATTTGCTGCTCAGCACTACCTACCTAGTAGATGCCCGCTGGCTTCAGGGAAGCTCTCTTCTCTCCCCTTTCTTCTTCCCACTGGGAGGACTGAGCTGCTGGTCAGGCTTCCCACAAGAGTAGTTTGGCTCTGCCCTGGGACTATGGTCTTACTGCTTATGAAAACAGTTGGAGGGAAACTTCATCTGTGGGTTCCTATGTCCGCTTTCCCACAGAGTCTGAAATTGCCTTCTTATCCCTTTTGATATAGTTGGTCCCTGGGGTCTCTTAATACTTTGGCACAGTAACTGTGAAGGATCCCTTTGAACAAGAGAAAATGCTACCATGAGTGAGGGGTGGGTCTTCAGGCTTGGGATCTCAAGCTTGGCTACCTGAGGTCCAAGAGATCCAAAATTCTCAGCCTTTGGGGCTTCACATTGGGTTCTTTGAAAAATGGGTAACATATTGAACATTTTTGGTTTTTAAAAGATAGAAAAACAAAAAACCTAACCAAACAAAAAAAACTGCAGAACAGGGATCGGGGAAGCTTTCATGTTCCCGACTGCACGGGTGAAAGTCTGCATCTAACAGAAACAGCTACTCCCAGGAGGAGTCCCCGGACCAGGCTGGGAAGCAGTCTGGGCATGGCCAATGGTGCAGACCCCTGCCTCCACCCCTGAACACACTCCTTGGTTTGCTTGCTTTTCATTGCACCCTATGAGTCTTATATACTACACTGAGCAGGATACTCTCTGAAACTGGGTTGTGAGAAGGGAACAGATCCTTAACTATCTAGCCATGTGTCTCTTGCATGTCTCTCTGGGTCTATACATAGACTCATCTCATCATTACAATGTTTTGAGTTAATATTATTAGCTCCATTTTACAGGTGGGAAAACCAAGTCTTAGAGAGCTTGGCAGAGGTCACATGACTTATTAGACGCTGAGCAGGGAACTTGAGCTGGTTCTATCTTTCTACTACACATGCGGTTTTGCCCTTCCATGTGGCATTTCTCCAGGTCATCTTTCTCTTTAGCCCTGCCTGGCCTTAGTGGTTCAAGGTGGTCCACCGCCTTGCATTGTCACCAGCTCACACCCTGCTCTGGATTGGCGTGAAGATTTTCACTCGAGTGTGTCACTGAATGATGCCATTGGAAGCTTCTGCTGATAAGCGTGGGACCATCTGCTTGGCACATCTCAAATATTTTCAGCAGTGGGAGAGCAGCTCTAATTCCTTCAGAGATGAGAGGCTGCAGCCATCCTTCGAGATGTTGGGACCGGAGACCCTGCAGGCTGGCTGGGCATTGATGCCCCAGATGCGAAGAGAGAGCCAACCTGTGGCCACCTCTGACCCTTCCTGAGCAAATGACACCAGCGAGTCTGCTTCCCAGTTTTTCATTGCTTAGCTGTCCTTGACAACCAGAGTAAGATTTTCTCTCTTTCAAAAGCTATTTCTTGGGTAACTCTTTTCTGTGCTGGTTTTTCTTTCTTTCTTTCCTTTTTTTTTTTTTTTTTTTCCAGTGTGTTGGATGTTTGCCGTTGGTGTGTGTTGGCAAAACTTCTCTTTCCTCCTGCCTTTGTTTTGGAAAATTTACTTCTTTGCTGCGTTAACTGTTCCCAGACATTGTTTTTCAACTTCAGGGTTGAAACTTCTGCAGTAGCGTTTTCTTTTTTAACTCACTGCAGGGGAAAGAATCTTAGGATCAATTCACGGTTTGAATGGTGGACTTGGAGGTTTTCACGGTTGCTTAATGAAAGCTTATAAAAGAAGTTGAGGTTTGAAAGGGTTGTTACTGAATTTGATTTCTCTGGCGAAATCTCTTGGCTATCGGCTCTTGGGCATCACAGGGGCAAGCTGTATTGATGTTTCTTTGTTTTTCCTTAGTGGGCCCTGGCATCAGTATTAGCTTCTGTTGCTTTCGAAGTCATGTGCAGTCCTTTGGTGACAAGGTGTTTATTAAAAGGAATCTCCTGCTCAGTCTTGATCTTTGGTATGAGCATCTTAGCAACACTTCCCAGCGAGGATACTTAGGAGTAATTTGGTGAGAGAAGGTATAGTGTGTTGTTAGAGTGCTGTGGGTGCAGCAGTAAAAGGGTGGTAACAAGCTGGCCTCTAGCAGAGTGCCACGGCCTTGGCACCATTGACATTTGGGGCTGGGTAATTATTTACCATGTGGGCTGTCCCGTATATTGTAGGATGTTTAGCAGCATCTCTGGCCTCTACCAACTAGATACCAGTAGCACACTCCTCTCCGTTGTGACAACCAAAAATATCTCCAGGCATGACAAACATCCCTTAGGGGACAAAATCACCTTCCCCGCTTTTAGACCAAGGCTCTAAATTGATCCAGTGGTATGTTTGGAAAGGGAGCAAGAAGTGTCTGCTTCTGCATGCAGATGGCCCCAGTGCGGGGAAGACGGGAATGATGCATTTAATACCAGGACAGATGTTCCTGCCCTGCACATTCCCATCAGAGCCCTTGCCTGCCATGGAAATTCCATCTCACAAATGGGTTTCTGTTTGTCCAGGTGACTGCACACGCACACAGGGAAGAGTTTGCTCTTTTCTCTGGATCTGCACACCTAGAAAGTCCAGCCTAGGGTCAGGCTGTCTTTAAGTTGCCTGGGAACAACAGGCAGTTTCAGACGGCCCACTCCTCCAACCTGAGTTCTGCTGGCTTTTTTATCTTTCCTTTTTTTCTCCCTGCCTTTCTCCCCAGCCCCCTTTCTTTCTTCTAAGAGTGATGTGCTAGGCTGGGAATCTGGGGCCCTGGGAGGACTGTGCTCAACTGAATGGGAATGTGGAAGGGGTTGTTTGTTTCTGAGGTCTCTAGAGAACACTTGAGCAGCATAAATGTATGGCATTTAGAACTCTCTGCCGACTCTGAGTCTCCTTGTTTTTTCTATCAGCTCCGCCACCCATCTGCTGCTCTCACTTTCATTGAGAGGTAAATGCAGCCAGCAATCTCAAGTGGACCTGCCAGGACACAGGCTCTGCAAAGCCCACATCCTTACCCATCTATGGAAACCACCATGCTTGTTTTCCCTGCTTGTTGATTCATTATCTCAGTTTGGCATTTCCATGAGATTCATACTGGCAAAGTGCTTTCAATCTCTAGCATTTCTTATACCCCAGCCTTTCAGAACTACATTAAAATGCCAGTATGTCAAGCAGTTAAGGCCCAGTGGGGTTAATCTGCTTGATGGAGGACTTGCTTCTCATGGTCAGTTTGACTGAAAGTGCAGCTCCCAGGCCAAGCAGCCGTAGGCACAAGCAGAATAGGCAGTGATCTCTGCACTGTACTTTGATCAATGTCAAAACCCCTCTTCTCAAAAGTCTCTTCAGGATTCAGATGTGATACTGCCTACAATTCTTTGAGTTTTGCAGGAAGGTGGTGGGTATTAAGTCCTACTTTCCACCATGGTCAGCCTGGCTTGTGGTGGCTTGCGTGAAGTGCTGGAGCCTGAATAGGCAAGGATCATCCCTATGGGGGCAGCCATGCCAGGGTGAGGGCAGTGGCAGTGGTGACATGGCAGGGGATGTCAGTGCTTGGCAGAGCAGGATATCTGCGTGGCAGGTACAGGGAACTGGTGCTGGGTGTTGGCGCTCCTGCTGCGTGAGGTCTGTGTCTCAGGGTGGGGGGCAGGGGCAGCACTGTTCCAACAGGAAGTAAAAGAGTCCAGCAAAGTGAGGAGGGCATCAGTGCAGGGCAGGGGAGGAGCTGTGCCAGACATAGGCAACTGTTCATAGGTGGGTTGATCAAATGAGTAAATGCATAGAGGGCCATGGAAGCCAGGTTTCTTAGAGAAGGGAGTTACAAATGTGGAGAGGGAGAAAACTCAAATGAATTCACTGGCGGTGGGTCAAAATTGGAGATATTGGGGTCAATTCATGATTATATGTGTATATTTTATAAAGATATACAAAGATACCAAAATACAGCTGTAGGTGTGTGTATGTATGACTATACATAAATGTATCTATGTACATATATTCCTTAGCCCTACCCCTGAGAGGCCCTGGGAGCAGTGACAGCCTTCTAGCAATGAGCACATTTTACACCCAGATCTTGGCTTCTAAATATAATTATTTACTGAAAGGAACCAGGGCTCCTTGGAGAAATGGCTGATTCTAGGCACTGGTGCAGGGGACATACAAGGTTATGGTAAAGTGTCCAGCTTTTTGTGTTGGAAGGCTATTAGGCATATTGGAGGAAGTGTGGACCAGTGGGGAAGGTTGGATTGCTGTTTTGGCCCACTGAGGCTGCTGTGCCACCATGAGACACAGTTGGAGAGACCCAGGGCTGTTGGTTATATGGGTCTGACATGCTGGGGAGATGTGTGAGCTAAAGCTGTGCATTTGAATTTCATCAGCAAGTGGGGATGGTTGAAACGGTGGGATTGAGCAAGACCACCCAAGGAGAATCTGTAGAGTAGGAAGCGAAAAGGGTCGAGAATGGAGCCTGCAGACTGGCCAACATGGCAAAACCCTGTCTCTACTGAAAATACAAAAACATTTGTCAGGCGTGGTGGCGGGTGCCTGTAGTCCCAGCTACTCGGGAGGCTGAGGCAAGAGAATCACTTGAACCTGGGAGGCGGAGGCTGCAGTGAGCAGAGATGGCGCCACTGCACTCCAGCCTGGTGATAGAGTGAGATCTTGTCTCAAAAAAAAAAAAAAAAAAAGAATGGAGGCCGGTGGAACTCCAATGTGCAAAGGGCAGTGTAAGAAGGGATCCACCGAAGGAGACAGAAGAAGAACTGCAGGCAGGCAAGAGGAGAGCCAGAGGGAAGAAATATGCTAGGCTCTAGCATCATCTCAGAGACAGAGGCAAGGAGACATAAAGTGGGGTTCCATAGCAACACTCACGCATTGGGGAGGGGCTCGAGCCCCAGATCTTGTCTCATCCACCTTCTGGAGGACTTGGCTGAGAGCACTGTGCTGTTGAATGGATTGGCTCCTTTCTCTTATTTGTTCTGATGAAAGGACGTGCCTGAATTTCCCCCTCTGACATCAATTATTTTTACACATAATGGTGAAGCATGGTGTCCTTCATCAATAGATGTGTTTATTGATAATGATGATAGCTAGGAGTCACTCTGTTTCACAGAAGAAAGTGACAACAGAGACAGTATTTCTGAAAGCAACTCATTCCTGTGTGTTTGTGTTGTTTTGGTTATGGGTTTGGTATTGGCTAGATGGTGCTTTAATAAATAAAAATCCATTCTTTGATAAATAGATCCATCCTTTGATAAATAAAAAAATCCATCTTTTAAGGATTTTAATTACTGACAACCCAGTTGATAGTGTGGTTGCTTCTGGTGACATAAAAGCCATTAATAAATGTTCCAAAACTCTTAAGAGCCCCATGAATGGGTGTGTGAACTTCACACACAGATGGACTATTGACAATGAGCTGGTGTGTGTGTATGTTGGGTGGGGCAGGGGAGAGCTAGATATAGCGCCAATTTGGACCTGGGGCAATCCAGGCTCTGCTGCTGCCTTTGTTACTAAGTAGGCAACCTTGGACTAGTCCTGAGTTAATTTCCTCACCTGGAAAAACAAGGGGGCGGTCTGCAGTATCCGCATGATTTTTTCAAGCTCTAAATCTTAATGATCAGCACAGGATGGTCTTTACCAATAAGGAAGTGTTTTTAAGAAAACTCCAAGCAGCATCCTTTCATGTCTTTTATAAAATACTCCAGTTTCTGGGGAAAAATAATTGTAACATATAACATATAACAAATTGCCATATTTACAAATGTTTCTTGCAATTCAATAAAAGAAATGAACATAGAGTTTGAAAAAACAATCCATCGAAAAATACAAGTAACTGTTAACCTAAAAGAATGTCCAACCTCATTAGGAATCAGATAAATGCAAATTAAAACAAGGTATCTTTTATCACCTATCAAATTTGGGAATTTAAGAGACTGAAGATGTTGTAGAAAAAGAAACATATATGCTGTTAAAAAATTTATATACTGTTGATGTTGGTATTAATGTAATTGGCATGGTTATTTTGGATGACGGTTTGTTAATGCACATTTAAATCTTGAAGAATGTTTATACCCTTTGGTCTAGCAATTCCACTTTTAGAAATATGTCCTAGGGGAATAATTAGAGATGTGCACAAAATTTGCATCCATGTAAATTCATGACAGTGCTTTGTTTTTAAAAATAGCGGTGAAAAATCAGAAGCAAATGGTATGTCCAAGGCTAGGGGATTACTAAAAATAAATAATGAAAGCTGGGCACAGTGGCTCACGCCTGTAATCCCAGCACTGTGGGAGGCCAAGGCAGGAGAATCAGTTGAGTCCAAGAGTTCGAGACCATCCTGGGCAACATGGCAAAACCCTGTCTCTACAAAAAATACATAAAAATTAGCTGGCATGGTGGCATGTCCCTCTAGTCCTAGCTACCTGG